GCACCGAGTATATTTCCATCTCTTATTATCACTGTAGATAATACAGGATGGATATACACTGAATGCGCACTCAGTGCATCAATGGAAATCGCTATTAAGCGTAGTAGCTGCCTATAAATTGACAGGAACGTCACTAATGTAAGTGCTACCAATACAAAAAAAAGTATCAGCTGGATTGACAAGATACAATACGTGCAATTTGAAAATTCCCGTTACTTTTTGCTCAAACCTCGTATACACGACTGTAAATCTCAAAGTTCATGCATGCGTAAACCGAATATCTGTCGAATCAAATAGATACAATTTGGAATGTGGTGTTCCATTTTATTTGCGATACAGTTTAACCACAAATTTTGGTGGTTTGTTTATTTTCACATTTACTGCGTTGTTTTCGATATAAATAAATAACATTCTTTATTAGATAATGAAGTGATAAAGCAATCGATTTTCTGTAAGTGGATTTACTTATTTTCTCAATTTATTTTAAGTTGTTATACATATTATTATTATTATTATTATTATGCATAAACACATATTACAGGTATGAATCATTAGTTTTATTGAGTATTATCTGTTGATTAATTATTTTCTAATGTAATGTAGATATGTGTTGTTATAATAAAACAATATTTCTCCAACAGAGTGCAGTAGCGCTGTAGCAAATTATGTATTTAAGTAAAATTGTTGCCGTCTTACTAATAAATTTTTAATGATTTTGCATTTACCAAAGTCAATTGACAATTATCGTTTTCTGCGAATAAGTATTGTTTGGTGCCTCTGTATAGATTGTTTTCACGTTATCTGAGAAGTCAAACTTATTTTCACTTTTAAAGACTGAATCTTGATCAAGGTCGATGTAAAAATCGAAATCTCGGCTGTAGAAAGTATTCTAATAAGCGCGATACTGATACGCCTCAAATTTCTTATTTATAAATTTAAATCTACGACATACCTTTTGAAAATATTGGTTTATAAGCGAATACGTGTACTTTTAATGACTTTCAAACCACAAAATAATATTTATATTACAATATTTCTTTGAAAACATTAAATGCTATTTCTCGTTAAAACCGCATGGGAAACTGACATAATGTTTACATAAGTCATATTCACCTCTGGCTAATAATACGCAGTTTTAAACGTGTACCTACCTTTTATTTTTAACGCTAAAACCGATGCTAAAATATTTTTCACATTGCACGAATTTCGCTACTCTACCTTTTATCGCAGTACGGTTCTGTACCGTTTGTTTATAGAAAGTTCCCTTAGATGATTTTATCTAAATTATGATGTATTGTTTTATTTTTTATCTGTCTCGCCGTTTTAATTAACTTATCTTTATGCTTACTCCGGCACGTACGAGATAGCATTAAGTATTGTATGTAGGTACGTTTCTTGTAAATGATAATGTATGGGAATTTGGACGGGAAAGGGTAAGTGTTGCATAAAGAAGTTCTAATTAATCGATGCAGATGAAATAGTTTGTAAGAAAATAAACACGTATCTCTTGCATCTGCATCAATTAATTAAGAATTGCTGAACCATAACAATATAATTGTATACGTTAATTTGGTTTTCCCATTCCAAATATTAGATAATGTCTAAGATTATATTATAATCTTAGTTGTGTGCTTTGAACATTAATTTTATGAGAAAAAAAGTGGAATATGTAATTATAGGCACTAGCGATAAAGTCAACAGTAATACCTCTACATTGTATAAAACGTAAATGTATAAGTAACAAAATAGACAATGATCAGTGATCACAAATAGAAAACAAAACCGATTTTCCTCCTGCTCTTCATTTTTAATGGTGGATTAAATGTTCAGCTCCAGCTGGAATCATGAAATATGATTCAGGGGAAGTTACTCGATGTCGGAACACGCCTTAAATATTTTTAACTACAATTAATCGTACCCATCGCTGGAAGTACACTCACGTTTTTTTTTGTCCAAATTGTAATAAATAAAAAGTGACTTGGATGTAGCTGTCGTCACGTAGGCAAAGCCATGAATAGACGTCCATACAAATGTTGATTTAAAGTGGAGCTGAAAGCATACACAAGGTGTGTGTGTAAACGTGTTGCTACTACGTGTGTGTAGTATTTTATTATTTTTGGTCTACGTGACGATGAACAGCGCGCCAGTCAAAAATATAACAAATGATAGGGACATCGTATATTTACTAACATTGATAATTGGTATATAGCACCATGTATACCCTTGTTTATTTATATTTTTTTATGTGTGGGAAAATTTACATAGCGATTTATTTTTAGGCTCCTCGTTAGAAGTGTTCTCGGTTACTGGCATTTGCATTTCGCACTGATTTTTAATTGATGCTCGTTCTCCCGTTTCTAATCGCTTCATAGAAGTGATGTCACATGTTTTAGGAATATTTTTTTTTAATTTATTCGGTTACTTAAAATAACATCGTATAATTAACAGTTACTATTTAAAAATAGTTACGGCTTAAGTGGAATAGTCATTATAATTTTAAAATAAGATTTAGATTTTTGTCACAACCAAGTCAGTAACCATATTTAATCAAAGTCATTACTATTAAAATAATATAAATTACTTTTGCGCTTAAGTCTTGACGGAACTGACTCTTAAATTTATTTTTACTTTATAATTAATCGTAGGTACGTGTAGATATTTGAAATATTTATATTAGACAATGGGACACCTTGAAATTAATTTGAATATGGAGTTTCTCTTATTTATAAAATGCGGACGGATTGGTTTGCAAAGTTTTTTTTTTGATAAACTTATAATTGCGGTTTTATAAGAAAATACAAAAAAAAACGGTTGTTTCAACGCATCTGATCATTCCACTCATTTCCTTTTTCAAGTGTGCTTCACGACACGTAGGCTCAAAATGTTGTAATCCCAGAAAAATCCAATAACAATTCTGATTTATACAGGGCGATATTATATATTTTTTAATATTTGCAAGCTTCTTTGATATGATGAAGTTTAAAGATAAATTTGATAAATTGGAGTTTATTTATATCGACTTTAAGTCGTTTCATAGGGTTAATTTTGCAAGACGTTAGAATCCGAAAGGTCCCTGATCGATATCATACTGGGTGTTTCCTTGGGAAAATTTTATCTTCTAATTTTATTATCTAAACATTCTGAAATTTCACTTTCGTTTTGTTGCTTTCAAATATATTATCAAATTTCATCAGGATTACTGATTTACAAATGACAAAACCGTGTAGAAAAGTATAAAATTTCATGGAAGGAAGATTATTTGATAATTTAATTAACCACACAACTAACGGCAATGAAAATATTGTTAAAATAGGTTGTATGATGTCTTTTTTTTAATATTTTTTTTATTTTGTCATGTGTTTATATTACATATTTATTATTTATTATATATTTTTATGTTTTATGGATACTTGTTATTTCAACTCTATTTTTATATTCTATTGAATAAAAAAATACAAAAGCCACTTGTCTTTGAAATAGCTATTATCTCCTTTATACAGATTGATTCATATAAAACTCCCCAGACCAATAATGTGATAACGGAAAGATTTTTTGAATCCGTAAAAGTTATTGATAGAGCTCCTTGATGAAATAAAACTTCAAGTAGAATTTTTTCGAAGCAAATTGAAGGCACATGAAGTCAAAAGAAACTACAAATTTTCCTCGATTTTCAATAATTTTTGAGGCAACTCAAAATAATTTTGGAGGCTTAACCATGGTTTGTATTAATATATCAAACAGTAAAACTAAAAGTGTTTACAGAATATTTAATTTAAATCTTGGATATTGCCATTGAAAATTTACTATTTTAATTTAATTGCCATTGAAAATTTACTATTTTAATTTAATAACCAATCTCTCGAAACCTTTTAGTCTTAAGTTTTATTATTGTTTTAAGCAAGGATTCATTGCAAATTTTAGACTTGAAAATTACCATAGAGACCTTTATTTGATTGTGGTAAGAATTAGCAAATTTTTGAACTAGAAAAGGTGATATAGGCAAAACACAGAATTTCTACAAAAAATTTTTTGACCACTGCCATCTAGTTTCCTTTGGAAACAATCTGCTTTTACAGAATCAAAAAAATCTCTTTCCATTATCGAGTTATATAACCAGGGAATTTTATATTATCGAATCAGATTGCTGTAATATTTTTTTTTTAGATTTAGAGTATTAGATTTATTTGTTTTAAATTAAAATTGAGCATATTTCCTATTTAAAATACAATGTAGTCCTTTAAATTGTGCAGGCGATGATTGCCTGTTACCCTGGTCTGGGATCACACTACGTCAAACATGTGGACAACCCAAACAGGGATGGGCGGTGCATTACGGCGATTTATTATTTAAATCTCAACTGGGACGTCCGTACCTATGGTGGCCTCTTGCGGATATTCCCACAGGGATGGCTGGAGGACAAAGTAAGTAAAAAACGTCTTAAAATGTATAACTTCAATCGAATTGAATCCCAAAAATCTAATTTTCTTTCATTCTGTTGTAAATTATATGCATTATTGGCCTACAGTGGTGAATAACATTTCCTGTGCTATTTTCAGGTTGCAGATATAGAACCCCTATTTGATAGATTGTTATTCTTTTGGTCGGACCGAAGAAACCCCCACGAAGTACAACCAGCGTATCAAACTCGTTACGCTATTACTCTCTGGTACTTTGATGCTGCGGAAAGAGCAGAAGCACTTAGGCGCTACNTTGGTCGCATATTTAAATTTCTTAAAAATTATCAGTCCACTAGAAAGCCATTAAATTTAGAAACTTTTTGTCTCTTTATACTTTTTTCGTAAAACGCAATGCTTTCGAGAAAAATGTCAAAATGTGATCGAATGCATATCGTGATTCGCCATTTTCCTCAAAAACATTGCATTTTACGAAACAAATATCAAGAGACAAAAAAGTTTCTAAATTCAATGGCTTTCTAGCTAACTAATAATTTAAAAAAAAAATCAAATTAGCGACCAAATTTTTCTGGTTCCAAAAACAAGTGGGCCTAGGAAGAAGTGTCTTAAGAGGGTTTCTCGCCAAAAAGCGTAGCACTGTGAGATTCCACATGTCATAAAACCCCTGTGTACCAAATTTAGTGATTCTCGTACATCATGGTTTTGAGATATAAAAAAAGACTTCCGGGCCAGTTGGCAAAAAGAAAAAATACAGGTCCCCTAAATTTG